CAAACCAGGAAAGTGGAAGGATATCATGTTTACTGGAAGTGGTGTGACCTAGTAAAAACAGCAAACAGAAAGTAGAAAAAAATATTTTTGACTTCAGGGTTTCATATCTTTTTATTCTTCGTGGCATAATCCATTTTTTCCCCCGATTAAATCACAATTTCACATTACTACATACATAATATGTACAAGAAAAAAATTTTCTTTGTAGCATTTTATTTTAAAAAAATTTCAAAGATCAGCTGTTTTGCATGTAAGCCTTTGGAGCAGTCAATTACACATCGGCTATGTTGGATATTTTCTCCAACAATGATTGTATTGTAAGGTCATTTCTGGTTGACATTTCGGGTTTGGTCTTTTCATCGCAGAACACCACCAAACACCGCCGAAAACCCCAAAAGTGAACTAAAACTATGGAAAAACAATAATGCGTGTCAATAAAAGCAGAAAACTGTTGAATTTATTGATTTTTTATCGCAATTTCAAAGAATAACTAAACGGTGAATACACTCGGCGTTTGGGAAAGTCTATTTATTATGTTATTGTTTCAGTAAATCAACTACATATATATTGACTCATTGATTTTTTTCTAATTAAATGTCTATTTCAATATAATTATTGAATGTAATAATTCTTATCAATAAATGTCATCTTAATTACTCTAAGATTAACAGTCAGTTGGTCAAGCCTCAGACAAACATTACAAAACCCTTCCTCTGCATGTGTCAGTATAATGGAAATATCTTACTTATAGCAGTAAAATTGTTAAAGGGGTAAAATTAAAAAAACAAATTAAGGAAGGGACATGTAGCATGTCAAGTGTTCAATGTGTTCGGCGACTTTTTTATTTTTTCGATGCAAATGTTTGGTCTTGGTTTCCTTTTATTTGTTATTTTATTACTTCATTATTAAACCTATCATACCTTCTATAACACTTGTTGAAACTCTTTACTAAATTATAACAAATAGATTACATGAATAACAAAAAATATTAAAAATGTTTTTTGTCTTGTTCGGCGGTGTTTTACGGTGTTAAGTGTGATCGGTGACGCTCCTATTCTTTACGATGTTAAAATTCGGTCTCATTCCCTTTTATTTTATTTTTAAATTTGTTTACATAATTACAACTAAAAGGTAAAATAAATAACAAAAAATGATAAAAAGGTATAATTGTGGGTGCTCGGCACTGTTTTGCACTGTTGACGACTCTCCTACTCTTTTGTGTGTTTATAATTGGTCTCGTTTCCTTTTTATTTGTTAAACTTTTTACTAAAATACGTGAAATAGATAAGATAACATGATAAAATATTGTATTTTTTCATAGTTTAAGATCATTTTGGGGTGTTCGGTGGTGTGCAGTGGTGTGCAGTGGTGTTCGGTGGTGTGCAGTGGTTTTCGGCGGTGAAAAGACCTACCGGACCTTTCACCAACATCTCTGCTAACACTTGGCCCTGCTTCATCAAAATCTTGTTGTACAGGCCTTTGTGATGTTTCACTAGCTTTCCAAGTTTTCACTCGATAAATTTCTTGAGTTCTTCTCTTGATTGCATCAATCATTTCCTTATCTTGAGGAGCATTGTCCATCTCGGACGTGTGGCCTCGTTTGGTCGTCGCCATTATAGCGTAACTTGACAATTTTCCATAACTGAATCCAATAAATTCTTCCGTTTAAAAATTAGGGATGTCAACTCGGTGGACAATTACTAATCGAGTACTCGTTGGTTTTATCGAGCGATACTCGAGTACTCTCTCGGGAATAACATAAGTATCTGGGACAAGGAATTACACACCATAATTAATAGCTCATTACATTTGCATACAAGTACTAATTAAGTAGGAAAAACAATAATCTAATCAATATAATTTAATGAACACCAATTTAAAAATTATAACAAAGAAAAACCATATCAAACAATAGTATTTGGTAAACGTTAAGAAAACACATTTAATGTTTACAAAGGAAGTAAGGATTAGAAGTTTAACTATTCACTGAGAGTCACCAGAGGGTAACAGAATCAATTTGCGCCAATTACAGTTTTGAAAAGGTATCAAATGCGCAACTCTCTATTTTTCTAATTGCGCCAATAAATGAAATCAAATTGCGCCACATTTACCTGTATATTTTTTACCTTTATCATACATGTAACATGTACTATAATTAATCTTTCCACTTTAGATTAAACTGAACACTCATCAGAATTAAGAAAACTCACCAATAAATAAATTATTCAGTACATGCAGTAATAGAATAGTTTTTCACATGTAAAGATGTCTGAAATATCGTTCAAGAAAATAGAGTCTGATAGAGGAAAACCAGGAGCTGCAAGAAGTCGACTTGGAGAAAGAAAACTTTGCTCAAGAAAAGTACCAAAAACTAGTGAGAGGAGAAGTGATCAGAAAGGAATATGAGTCTATTCTCAGTTACAAATACCAGCCTTTGGTTTAATGTTGAACAGAGACATATTATAGTTTTTAACTATATATACATGAGTGAACGTTTTAATTCAGCATATGTTTTGTATTAAAATGACTTTAACTCCACCAGTCGGTAAACTGCAGATAAATCCCGGTTAAAGGAGGGGGGAAGTCAATCATTTAGTTGAAATATATAAGTAAAAATAAATAAATTCATAAAATTGGCGAAATTAGACGATATTTTTATTGGCGCAAATGATACCAATAGTTTTTAAAATGATGTGGCGCAGAAGTAGCATTGGCGCAAATAAGTTGTGGCGCAAATGAGTTCATTTTTGACGCAAAAAGATATCGACCACCAGAGGATGCAACGAATTTATTTTATTTAGAAACATTTTCTTGTAAACTATTATTGGGGAAAGTCGGTTTTGCAACTTTGTAACTTACAGTCTGTATAGCGACTGGAAACAGACTGTAAATATATAGAAAAAAAAATTACTGGATGAACTCCAGGTTCTCCTGATATAGGAGGGAATTACAAAAGGTGACAGGTAACAGGTAACAGTCTTGCAGACGAAATTATTTGCTCTGACGGTACCGATGTGACGGAATGGCTAAGACATGTTTAGTTTAAAGTGTTGTCCTAGGTATAGCCCACAAATTTTCGGAGGCATTTTAAATGACAATTTAGCACAAGCATTCGAAACAAAATGTATTTTATTTACAGTATGATTAATCAGTGATGCCTATTTAATTTCCGAAAGAGGTTTTTAAGAAGATCAATTTTATATAAAGAAGACAGTAATATTCTAACAGAAAACCGATTAGTCCAGTATCGTTTTGGTATTCGATACTCGATACTACCGACCGATACTCGAATACTCGAGTACTCGTTGACATCCCTATTAAAAATACATCCACGCGTGAAAGTCACTTCAAAACACTGTTAGTTCCTGCACTAAGTTATACTATTTTTCCACGCATTAGAAACACTTAATCGTTGATTTTTGTAAATCAAAGTGCTGGATAGCACCTATGGAAAGTTTGCAACGGTCAGCTTTGATGTTTTTTTTACTAAATCATTGTCTCATCAGCAATTATCAAAAATCACATTTTTCATATGTTTATCATGTAAAATTTTGATATTTTCTATTGCAACCTTAAACTGTAGATTTGAAATAATTCAGTACTCAGAAAGCTCTGTTACATTCTTTATGCGCACATCCCATGTCAAGGGCCTGTGATTTTGGTACTTTTTATTGATTCAGGTCCTTTATATTTATTTTTAGTAAATTGTATTGTTATTAATTAAGCCGTTAGTTTTCTTGTTTGAATTGTTTCACCTTTTTCATATCAGGGCTTTTTGTAGCTGACTATATGATATGAGTTTTTCTCATTGTTGAAGACTGTATGGTGACCTATAATTGCTTATATATCTTGAACTTGAATCCTTTGAACTCTGGTGGATAACTGTTTCATTGGCAATAATTGCCACATCTCCTATTTTAAATAAGACAGCGAACTTAAACCAATAAAACCGTAGTGAAAGTGAATTTATATGAAAGATTTAATCAACAATAGCAATATGTAGACAGGAATAAAAAGTTTATATACACTAGATTCGTAGAGGTACTTATAACCATGTAATACATTTTAGTTGCTGCTGTGAAATTCAGCATTGAGGCAATGACATTTTGAGATTTTGTGGTTTTCAGCCATTCATATTTTATAATCATTGCTTCTTTGTTGAACTGTTAATCTGAAAGAATCATACTGACCCAGGAACAAAGTGTGAGGTTTGCATACTGTAATTTCTGAAACTGAATGTCAGTATGATGCTTCTGTGTACAAAGTTTTGTCATTTAAAGTGCTACAGTACCAAACACAAACCAGACACTGTTTAAGTATCATAGGGGTCGAATGAGAAAGGTCAGAATGATCTGACTTTGATATATGACACACCCCAAGCCTATAATGCAACAGTTGAACTGCATACCATGTTAGGTTAACCAAAATTATAAGGTAGAAAAGATATGACCCAGACACGAATTGGACAAGGTTTACTATCATAGGTATCAAAGGACAACGTCAAGGTCAGAGTGATCAGACTTTGGAATATGACACGTCCAAAGACCATGATGCAACTGCCTACTGAGTTTGATAACCATAAGTTTAAAGCACAAACTTTATGAAACGGGCACAATTTGAATAAAAATCAACTGTCATAATGGTCAAAGGTAAAGGTCAAGGTCAGAGTGGACTGACTTTTGTATGTTTTACAGTACAAAAGTTGTGAACAGGACACGAATTAGACATGGTTTTACTATCAAAGGGGTCAAAGTCAAGGTCAGAGTGACCGGACTATGGTATGACACACCCCAGCCTTAGATGAAATTGCACAGATAAAAAAAAAACGGACACGAAGCCAGACGGACATGGTAATTCCTATATAACCTCAAACTTGTTTTTTTTGTTTTTTTTTTGGGGGGGGGGGGGGGAGGGGGAGTATTTAGCAATCTGAGAAATATGCCAGAATGTCAACAATCTACATATTTCCATAATAACATATATTCCATTATAAGGAAAAAACATTCTCAGGAAAACTGGTTTTCAGTCATTTATTCGAAGTACTTTTAATTGTCAACACATTATGTTTACAGCTATCTTGGTGTTTCTAAGACCAAATTCTGAGACTCCCAAGTTCTTAGTTTGGTAGCAAATTACTCTTTAGCTATCAAATTTTATTAGCATTCTTTGTTAAACTGTTTCTAAGTCATGTGTTCTTAGTTTACTTTTCTAATAAAATTGAGAATGGAAACCGGGATTGTGTCAAAGAGACAACAACCCGACCAAACAGCAGAAAACAGCAGAAGGCCACCAATGGGTCTTCAAACACAGCGAGAAAATCCCGCACCCTGAGGCGGGCTTCAGTTCATTCACAGTCAGATTTAATACACTCTGTTAATTTTGTTTTTAAGCTTTATTGTAATAGTGCTACCAGATATTGTTTTATTTCCTTCTTTTGAAAGTATAATATAAACAAAACAACCAAATTGAAATTTAACTGATTATTTGTAATTGCACTTATTCAATATCAAATATATATGAGGTTTTGGATGGGGGTCCTTCAATTCTGTATTCTTTAATTTTTTAGGCAACTTTTCTCCATTCTTTATACATTTTTCTCATTATTCTCTATTCTATATATTTTAGAACCCCATTATTCTCTATGTTTTTTTGGCCTATTATTCTCTATTCTTTAAATTTTTAGCCCTTTATTCTGCACAATTTGTACATTATTCCTTATTCTGTAAACCCCATCCAGACCCTCATATATTAAACAACAAGCAACAAAAGGTGAAAAATATAACAGCTCAATGAACATAACTTGGGAAAAAATACTGGCAATTGAATTGCATGTATGTTGATGTTGATATTCAAATCACTTTACTTATAGAACTAAATGCCATGGTGATAAGACATATTTTTAAGTCCCAATTTCTAAAAACTCCATGTTTATCGGTATTACGTCGGAATGTTGAGGCCTCTGACAATAATGATGACACCAGACGATCTAAAGGGTTCACTGAATACACATTGATCTGTTCACCATGCAAACTGAAAAAAAAAATAGAGAAGCAAAAAATCAATTATGAGAGGGAGTTAAGAGGTTGGGTTGTAAATTTGAAGTGGAATGAAAACTGAGCAGGGACACATTTGTATATGACTTAATTCAATGAGGCGCTGATAATCATAAAATCGATTAAATATTTCTTAACAGTGCTCCAGCTAAAAATAACTAGAGGCTCTAAAGAGCCTGTGTCGCTCACCTTGGTCTATGTGCATATTAAACAAAGGACACAGATGGATTCATGACAAAATTGTGTTTTGGTGATGGTGATGTGTTTGTAGATCTAACTTTACTGAACATTCTTGCTGCTTACAATTATCTCTATCTATAATGAACTTGGCCAATTAGTTACAGTGGAAAATATTTTGTAAAAATTTACAAAAATTTACAAAATTTATGAAAATTGTGAAAAAATGACTATAAAGGGCAATAACTCCTTAAGGGGTCAATTGACAATTTTGGTCATGTTGACTTATTTGTAGATCTTACTTAGCTGTACATTAATGCTGTTTATAGTTTATCTCTATCTATAATAATATTCAAGATAATAACCAAAAGCTGAAAAATTTCTTAAAATTACCAATTCAGGGGCAGCAACCCAACAACGTGCTGCCTGATTGGTCTGAAAACTGCAGGGCAGATAGATCTTGACCTAATGAACAATTTTACTCTATGTCAGATTTGCTCTAAATGCTTTGGTTTCAGAGATATGAGCCAAAAACTGCATTTTACCCTATGTACTATTTTTTAGCCATGTCGGCCATCTTGGTTCGCGGGCGGGGTCATCGGACACATTTTTTAAACAAGATACCCTAATGTTGATTGTGGACAAGTTTGGTTAAATTTGTCTTAGTAGTTTCAGGGAAGAAGATTTTTGTAAAAGATTACAAAAATTTACGAAAAATGGTTAAAAATTGACAATAAAGGGCAATAACTCCTTGAGGGGTCAACTGACCATTTATATTCAATTGAACATTTCTTGCTGTTGTGCAATACACTGTGCTGTTGTGCAATACTTAGAAAATCTGTTTTCAGACTATAAACAAAGAATTAGCAAAATAAATTGACCCCCAATTTTTTTCCTTGGAAAATTGACAATTTCTTTAATCTTGAGGAAAAAAAAATTAATCCCCCCAAAAAAATTTATTTGATGAAATTTTCTTTTTGTAAAATGTGGTACAAATTAAGAGACATCCATACACTTAAACAGAAGTTTTTGTCTGAAAACTAGAAAAATGCTTGTTTTAGACCCTTTTTGGCCCCTAATTTCTGAACGGTTTAAGCAATTACCCCCGAAATGAATCCCAACCTTCTACTTGTGGTATTGAACCTTGTGGTACAATTTCAGAGCAATCAAAATACTTATACACAAGTTATTGTCCTGAAACTAGAAAAATGCTTGTTTTGGCCCCCTTATTCCTAAACAGTTGGGACCACCACCCCTAAAAACAATCCCAACCTTTCTTTTGTGGTATTGAACCATTTGGTTAAATTTCATAGAGATCCATACACTTAAACTAAAGTTATTGTCCGCTGACGATAAATTTTTTGCGGTCGTATAAAAATAGAATGGAATTCTGACAGACTTCCGTAGTTCGACATTTTTCTTTCGAGTATATGCACAATGTTGGTGTTACAAACTCTTCTTTGACAGGCGTCTTGTTACTTGGAATGTCATGCAATGGATTGTCATCTGTGGATAAATGTCAGCCCAGACCTCTTCACAAACGGAAGGTGGCTGCCGGCATCCCTGTGTCCAAGGGAAGAACAGAATTGGGAAGATCGCGGCAATCTTTGAAATTCAGTTCGACGAATATTCGAAAAATAACAGCAACTGCATTTCCAAGTCACCATTAAACTTGAAACAGGCTAGTTGATTGCCAACTTGCTATCGTAGTTGACCGTGGCCTTAACTTTACGTTTTTAAATTCCGAAAAAAAAAGTTTCATTCATAATTGTCAATAATTAATCTCGGGTATTTTGTAGTAATGTTTACTATATGTACGAGATAAACGTGTTTTCATTCGTCGTTTTAAATAGAATCAATTAATAACTAATGATTAATTTAAATGACACACCGTAAATAATGGACTGTACATTTAAAACACATAGATAATGACGAGACAAACTGTTATTCTCGAGTGCGTTGTGCATAAATAATGAATATGCAAACAGTGAGACACAGCATAACAATAATATTTCTTATTGTTGGTCTCAAATCTATCTCAAAAGAATCGGTTTGCATGTCTATTTTATCTAGTCGGATTGCACCCACATGGAGATTGAATCTCATTGCGCATGTCTGGGGAATCCCATAGGAAAGCATACAGGTAACATAAACATACAAAATGGCTGACAGTTCGAAGTATGCATAATTTATTTAGGTCAAATCTAATAGCATTTACAAAGGTAAAAATTTAAAAGATTACAATATCATCAACAAAAAGAAATACTTTAATTTCATGCATAAATGTTAAAAAAACACTCACCTTGAAATAAATATCAGGCCCTCTTAATTTTCTAAGGATTAAATGTTGAAACCATGCTGTCTCGTGTAGATTTGTTTTGATTTTTTCCTCCGCACACGGCAGGTCCGCGAAGTAGTGTTTGTGATACCCATTTTCAAAATAAAGTTGAATTCATTTGAATTGTCAGTGAACATTCAGTCCATTTTTATTTAAGCTGTAAGCTTATCAAAAAAGTAGTAACTAAAAATTTCAAAAGCATCTTCCTAGAATTAGTATTTAAACACTAGTACTACATTATCTAAGAGTAGAACACACATCCTAGTAAGTTAGTCTGGCTACTTCCGTTTTGAGGCCGAGGCCTTAGGAAAGTATATTTCTATTGCAAGCTATAGCAAACTTTCCAAAAACTTCGGAGATTTGCTTTTAAGAATTGACAAATGGCGTCACGTGACCGTAATGACCTTTGGCAGTTACGAACTTCCGTTCTTTCGTGGAAGCAACTTAGTCATCTAAAATTGCTGTGACCTTGAATTCATTTTCACTCAGTGACCTTCAAATCAATAAGAATCTTTATCATCTCAAGCTTCTATTTCTTTCACAAATGGTAAAGATCTGATAAATGGCTCAAAAAATATCGTATAGAAATACAAGTTCAATTCCAACAAGAGGCTGTCAGAGTGACAGCAAACCGGATTTTCCTGCAGAGGTCAAACCCAGTTGAGCAAGTATGGACACAACATTTAAGCTTAAAACAGCTCTGAATTTGGATTGTGATTGAATATTTGACACAGCATATGTTTGTGACACAAAATGAATGTGGTCAAAGAACTGAAAAATTTGAAATCGGACATTTACCTATTATGGTCCAATATCCAAAATCTAAGTACATTGTTAGAATCAGCATATCAAAGAACCCCATGAATTCAATTTTTGATGAAATCAAACAAAAGTTTAATTTAGGACCCGTTGGACCTCAATATGGTATTATCTAATTAATAATGCAAATAAATACAGGTTTAGATTCAGCATTTCAAAGTACCCTATATATATTCAATTTATGTTTTATTTTGGACCCCGATTTGGAACAACTTGAAAACTGGGCCCAAAATCAGAAATCTAAATATATGTTTATTAATAGCCATGTAAGCTTAGTTTTTAAATGAGTTCGCTTCATCAAAAATATATATATATATATATATAGCATTCAGAAAATTAGTTTATACAGAATAACAAACAAACCTACCACAAAATTCTTCAAACAATTTACCAAAGAAAAGAAAAAAAAATCCAAAATGCCATATATCATTAATACAATGTCTTTTAATAATCTATAAAACTTATCTATAATTATCTTCAAAATGTCTAATAACGAACAGTAAATTTCAAACTATATTTATACTGTCCTACAGAGCTTATCATCATCAACACTTAGGTAACAGAAAATTTTCAAATAAATCTCATTCCAAATATAATTGTGTGATTGATATTTACCACATGCTTTCTTATCTGATAACAGGTGAAAATTATTTAAAACACTTAGTGTAATCAAACTTTATATATGTAATTAATAGTTCCCAATATTTTTTCTTTCGTTTGTCACAAACTAATATAGATCTGCAACTTATCTATCAATGTCAATAACTTTATCTACACAATGTAATGTAATGAAATTTATACTTTAATAAAAATATATTATTATCTAATGAAAATGATATTTGCAAATTTGGACCCCCAAACAGGATCAAGTAAAAATTAAACATTAACACACACAACAAAAATAAAATACCACATAACAACTGTGACATCTACCTTCAAAACACATGACTTAAAAAATATAGTTATAAAGAAATTTTTGACAGCTCCTGACTAAAATCAATTGAACAGATACAATCATTGCTAGACTAGCTATACAAAAAATTATTAATTACACCATTTCTGTTCAAAGAGAAATAACTCAATTATATAATAAATATCACTTTTGGCTACTGAAAGGTCTACCACTCAACAACGAGAAAAGCTATATTTAGTCACAGGAAACAACAAATCAAAATTTGAAAAAAATTCGTCAAAAAGTTTTCATGTTAATGAACAGACACTGTTTGCTAGCTGACCATCCGCCGTACATACCCAAATCAATAACTGATTTTTCCTTGGAAAATCCAGTTAAAAACAAATTCAATCTATTTGTAAGCACTTTGACCTGATCTTTGATCTACCATCTCAAAAACCGATAAGAATCCTATTCTTTTTAAGGGGCAGGTTCATTTTAAAAAATGAAAACAACACGTTATAAATTTCATGTGTCCAAAGCACCTTTCTGCATTTATCTTCATCAGAAACGCTCAAATCTGAATACTTGAAAGCCAAGGATGTACAAGAACCTAAACAGTTGAAGAGCTATATAACCAATAAACTGCTTCGCTGAGCGCAGCTAGATACACCCGCAGAGGTCCAACCCTGAACAGTTGGGGCAAAAATGGACACAATATTCAAACTTGATTCAGGAAAAATGGAGACAATATTCAAACTTGATTCAGGTCTGAATTTGGATTGTAATTAAATATTTGACATATTATAGGTTTCTGAATAAATGTAGTCAAAGAACTTGAAATTGGTTATATGAATTGAATTTATATTCAATTAAAGATTTCTTGCTGTTGTGCAATACTAAGTAAATCTGTTGTCAGACTATAAAAAAATAAAGTTCAATTAATTCTCAATGTCATATTAGAAATTTATGAAAATAAAAAGAGAGCTTACATCAATAGATAAAGCAATTCACCAAAGTTTCTTGAGAATTGGTGACAGCATTTTTGAGTTATTGTCCGAAAACTGGAAAATCACCCCTTTTTTTAATGAATAAAACCGCATAACTCAGAAATGTAAAATGTAAAATTTATAAAATTCTAAACGGAGCTTACATCAATACATACAAACAATTCACCAAAGTTTCATAAGAATTGCTGTAAGCATTTTTGAGTTTTTGTCCGAAAACTGGAAAATTCCCCCTTTTTTTATGAATAAAACCCTGTAACTCGGAAACGTAAAATCTAAAATTTATAAAAATCGAAAGGGAGCTCATGTCAATAGATATAAACAATTCACCACAATTTCTTGCAAGTTGGTGAAAGCATTCTTGAGTTAATGTCCGACATGTTGACGACGGACAGACGGACAACTGTATACCATAATATGTCCCGTAAACAGGCATGTAAAAAGGACCTAAAAATATAGCCAAATCCATTTAAGGTCAACTTTGCCTGAGGGAGTTGTAACCTTAGTTTCTAACAATTTCAAAATTTATTAACGGACAATTTGAGAAAGATTTGTTATAAATCATGTCAGTAACGAAGTACTGACTACTGGGCTGATGCTACCCTTGGGAACTGATAGTCCACCAGCAGAGGTATGGACCCAGTGCTGTAAAAAATGAAAACACAACGTTATAAATTGCATGCATCCGAAGCCCTTTTCTGGATTAACCTTCATCATGAATCCTCAGAGATAAATCTTTGAAAGCCAAGGATGTATAAGAACCTAAACAGTTGAAGAGCTATATAACCAAAAAGAACCTAAAATATAGTAAAATCCATCTAAGATCAAACATCTAATGGTTTACTTTTATAAATTTTGACTTGGATGGAGAGTTGTCTCATTGGCACTCATGCCACATTTTCTTATATCTATTTGCCTGAGGGAGTTATAACCTTAGTTTCTAACAATTTCAAAATTTATTAACAGACAATTTAGAAAGGTTTGTTACAAATCATGTCAGTAACGCAGTGACTTTTGGTGAAGATTGGAAATAGTAAACTAGAAGCTCTAAAGAGCCTGTGTCGCTCACCTTGGTCTATGTGCATATTAAACAAAGGACACAGATGGATTCATGACAAAATTGTGTTTTGGTGATGGTGATGTGTTTGTAGATCTTACTTTACTGAACATTCTTGCTCCTTACTATTATCTCTATCTATAATGAACTTGGCACAAGTTACAGTGGAAAATATTTTGTAAAAATTTACAAAAATTTACAAAATTTATGAAAATTGTAAAAAATTGACTATAAAGGGCAATAACTCCTTAAGGGGTCAATTGACAATTTTGGTCATGTTGACTTATTTGTAGATCTTACTTAGCTGTACATTATTGCTGTTTACAGTTTATCTCTATCTATAATAATATTCAAGATAATAACCAAAAGCTGCAAAATTTTCTTAAAATTACCAATTCAGGGGCAGCAACCCAACAAAGTGTTGCCTGATTGATCTGAAAATTTCAGGGCAGATAGATCTTAACCTAATGAACAATTTTATCCTCGTCAGATTTGCTCTAAATGCTTTGGTTTCAGAGATATGAGCCAAAAACTGCATTTTACCCTATGTACTATTTTTTAGCCATGTCGGCCATCTTGGTTTGAAGGCGGGGTCATCGGACACATTTTTTAAACTAGATACCCTAATGATGATTGTGGACAAGTTTGGTTAAATTTGTCTTAGTAGTTTCAGAGGAGAAGATTTTTGTAAAAGATTACAAAAATTTACGAAAAATGGTTAAAAATTGACTATAAAGGGCAATAACTCCTTAAGGGGTCAACTGACCATTTGGCCAAGTTAACTTATTTGTAGATCTTACTTTGCTGAATATTATTGCTGTTTACAGTTTATCTTTATCTATAATAATGTTCAAGATAATAACCAAAAATGGCAAAATTTCCTTAAAATTACCAATTCAGGGGCAGCAACCCAACAACAGAATGTCTGATTCATCTGAAAATTTCAGGGCAGATAGATCTTGACCTAATAAACAATTTTACCCCATGTCAGATTTGCTTTAAATGCTTTGGTTTCAGAGATATAAGCCAAAATCTACATTTTACCCCTATGTTCTTTTTTTAAGCATGGCGGCCATCTTGGTTGGTTGGCCTGGTCACGGGACACATTTTTTAAACTAGATACCCCAATGATGATTGTGGCCAAGTTTGGTTTAATTTGGCCAAGTAGTTTCAGAGGAGAAGATTTTTGTAAAAGTTAACAACGACGGACGCCAAGTGATGAGAAAAGCTCACTTGGCCCTTTGGGCCAGGTGAGCTAAAAAGATATCATCCAAAAACCAAAATCTGGCTGCAATTTCAGTCTTTTAATTCCTCCTTTGATCAAGTGTTCTCAAAATGTATGGGGTCTTCTTAATGCCCTTGGTATTATCAAACCATGTTTTGTAAAGACATTGTTTATAGCTTATTGTACTAAAACTGAAATGTTGACATTCATTGATCATATTTTAATTTGATTTTGACTATTTCACAACTTGGAGGTGAGATATTTTAAAACTGATCAATCAGAATCAATGATTGCTCCTGGCAACCTTTTTTCATCTGGTTAGGGTAAAAGTAAGAAATTTTAAAATAAGCACTTTCTATAAGATATTCTTATTAGGTTTGCATAATATCAGCCATGTTATTTCAGAAATGATGAAATATTAGGTTCACTTTGAAAACCTTTGTGATATATCAAATTGTCAGCAATGCAAGCTGATCAGCACACTCAAGGAAGTTTAATAATTCAAAACATGGTGCTGAGTATAGACAAAGACACTTACTTCCAACATTCGGTAATGTACTTTTTCCCACTTTCTAATTCTGCTGTTAAGTACTGTTGTAACCTTTTGTGGGTCCTGATTGCAGCTATCACAGATATTTTGATTTGTGGGCTTTTCACAAACAGGACAGTTAGAACATGAGAAGTACTGAGAAATGGTTCCCTGTAATAGATAATATAATCATGGTTAGTTTTTATCCGAATAAGATTGCTTTAACATTAATAAATGTCAGCTGTTGCTAATATTACATATTATACCATTAGTCTATACAAACAAAATTGTCTTTGTAGTTGTGTATGGTGTAAATTTTGTGCTGTGTTAATTGTTGTCCCATAATGTAAACATACTTTGAAGTTTTTATAGGTGGTGTTTTATGATCTGTAATTGTCTTTTGGTATGTAAATATGCATATAATTTTCTGTTTTTATGGTAATGAATCAAATCCTTATAGATCCAATGTTTTCTTATTTCTGATGTAACTCTCTTGATAACCAATTCAAATTCAACATCACAATCCACAAAGTCCCCAGTGGTGAGATTTAGGTACAAAGTAAATTGTAACAAGTAAAAATTTTATAATCTCACCATAACCCAAATTTGGCATTGTAGATCTAAACCAATTTCCAAATATTTTAATGTTAGCATAAGTGTGAAAGAGGGTATCTGTGTGTAAACCAAAACATAGTCTCAATAAATCATACTGGCTCAAAGCAGACAGAATCTCCGAATGAATAATATTTATTAATACAATAAATTCAGTAACAAAATATTTTGGCCCTTGTAAAACACTCAGCATAATTAAGAATTTAGGAGTTCCTGCCGAGCAAGTCAAATTGCAACCTGTAGTGTGAAGAAGAACCTGCCTGCCGAACAATACGCCAGCCAGGAATGTGAAGCGAGGGTTCTCCACCAAGGGGATGAGACTAGGCGTCTCATCTGCAGCCGGGGTGTGCAAGGTCTGCATGGAGGATAGCCCATGTGGTGCTATTACAAGTAGTAAGTAACAGGGTCTATCAATCTGGCGCTGGAATAAATTTGATAAAAGTCCAAGAAATGCTTGGGGATGAATGAAATTTTAGTGATAAAATTCCTCAGATGGTTACAGATGAATGCCCCCAAGGTTTTGGATAATTATACCTTCAATAATGTCATGAGAATAAAAATAAAAAAAAAAATAAAATAAAAGATAATATACACAAGATATACTATTCACAATATAGTGTAACAATTACCTATAGTAATTTGAGAATGTTATAAAATGATATTCAATATTCAAAATGAGATACTATAAAAAAAAATAATATTCAATATTCAAAGTTTCAAACATGATAATATTATAAAAATGATATTCATTATTCAAAATTCAAACATGAGAATGCTATAAAAAGGATATTCAGTAATTCAATGATGAGAATAATATAATAAATTGCTTCACTGAGCGCAGCTGGATACCACCGCAGAGGTCCAACCCTGAACAGTTGGGGCAAAAATGGACACAATATTCGCGCTTGATACAGGTCTGAATTTGGATTGTAATTAAATATCTGACACAAAATAGATACTGTAGTCAAAGAACTTAGAATTGGTAATATGATTTGAATTTATATTCAATTTTTTGCTTTTGTGCAACACACTATGCTGTTGCAAATTGACCCCCCCTCCAAAAAAAAAAAAATTACCCCCCCCCCCCCACCTTTTTTTTTGCAAAAAAAAAAAATATTTGAAGAAATTTTCTTTTTAATTCTGAAATCTGAAATGAGAAAAAACTGAAATCTGAAATCTGAAATGAGAAAAAATTGTCCCCCCCCCCCCCAATTTTTTGTTCACACCCCCCCCCCCCCTTTTTTCCAAAAAAAAAATTCTTTCCCTCAAGATATGGTCATAATCTCAATTCAAATTTCCAATGGAGTTTTCAACCATAATTACCCATTTAAATACGTCATAAAAGTCTTAAAATAGAAAATGACATACATAATCATGGCTAAAATTAATATTCCTTAATCAGCATTTTTAAAAAGTAATTTCTAAAAATAAATTTGACAGCTAATCACCTCAAGACAATACAAAATTTCTTTATACATAATTAAAAAGCAGTGTAAGGGAGGTAATCCAAACATAACATTGTACTTTTTTTTAATTGTCCATTAACCAGGAAACCCTTGTTTTTCCCCCTTTTTTGCCCCTAATTCCTAAACAGTTTGAGCCATAACCCCCCCAAAGCCAATCCTAACCATCCCTTTGTGGTATGGAAACTTGTGGTATATTTCAGAGAGATCCATACACAATTCCACAAGTTATGGTCTGGAAACTAGAAAAACGCTTATTTGGGCCCCTTTTTGGCCCCTAATTCCTAAACGTTAGGACTATAACCCCCAAAATCAATCCCAACCTTCCTTTTGTGGTTATAAACCTTGTGTTTCAATTTCATAGATTTCTATTTACATTTACTAAAGTTATTGTCCGGAAACCAACTGTCTTCGTACAACGCTGACGACGACGTGATACCAATATACGACAGCAAAATTTTTTGCAGTAGTATAAAAACACATTTTTGATAAGGAAGGAGAACAATTTTTAGATTGAGAATATTTGCCATTAAGTCTAATGTTAAGTTAAAATAAAATGCTTCGCTGGGGCGCAGCTTGATACGACCGCAGAGGTCGAACCCTGAACAGTTGGGGCAAGTATGGACACAACATTCAAGCTTGATACAGCTCTGAATTTGGATTGTTATTAAATATTTGACACAGCATAGGTTTCTGACACAGAAAGAATGTGGTCTAAGAACTTGAATTTTTTTAATTTACCTATTATGGTCCAATGTCCAAAATCAAAATACATGGTTAGATTCAGCATATCAAAGAACCCCATATATTCAATTTTTGTTAAAATCAAACAAAGTTTAATTTTGGACCCCAACTTGGACAAACTTGAAAACTGGGCCCATAATCAAAAATCTAAACACATGTTTAGATTCAGCATATCAAAGAACCCCAAGAATTCAATTTTTGCTAAAATCAAACTAACTTTAATTTTGGATCCTGTGGACCTTAATGTAGACCAATTTAAAAAACGGGACTTAAAATTAAAAATCTAAATACACGGTTAGATTTGGAATATCAAAGAACCCCAATAATTCAATTTTTGATGAAATCAAACAAAGTTTAATTTTGGACCCTTTTGACCTCAATATGAACCAATTTGATAGCGGGGCCTACAAATAAAAAATCTAAATACATGGTTAGATTCAGCATATCAAAGAACCTCATATATTCAATTTTTGTTGAAATCAAACAAAGTTTAATTTTGGACCCCAATTTGGACCAACTTGAAAACTGGGCCCATAATCAAAAATCTAAATACATGTTTAGATTCAGCATATCAAAGAACCCCATATATTCAATTTTTGTTGAAATCAAACAAATTTAAATACTGGACCCTATCTTACACCAACTTGAAAACTGGTCCCATAATCAAAAATCTAAACACATGTTTAGATTCAGCATATCAAAGAACCCCAAGAATTCAATTTTTGCTAAAATCAAACTAAGTTTAATTTTGGACCCTTTGGACCTTAATGTAGACCAATTTAAAAAACAGGACCCAAAATTAAAAATCTAAATACACGGTTAGATTTGGAATATCAAAGAACCCCAATAATTCAATTTTAGATGAAATCAAACAAAGTTTAATTTTGGACCCTTTTGACCTCAATATGAACCAATTTGATAACGGGGTCCACAAATAAAAAATCTAAATACATGGTTAGATTCAGCATATCAAGGAACCCCATATATTCAATTTTTGTTAAACAAAGTTTAATTTTGGACCCCAATTTGGACCAACTTGAAAACTGGGCCAAAAATCAAAAATCTAAATACATGTTTAGATTCAGCATATCAAAGAACCTCATATATTCAATTTTTGCTAAAATCAAACAAAGTTTAATTTTGGACCCTTTGGACCTTTATGTAGACCAATTTGAAAACTGGACCCAAAATTAAAAATCTAAATACACTGTTGGATTCGGCATAACAAATAGATAAATGTGATCAAAGATTTTACAAATCTAATGCGCCATACTGTGCAATTAAAGATTTCTTCTTGAAATTTTTCAATATTTGAAATTTGAAAAAAAAAAAATATTTGAAGAATAATTTTTTTAATTTCTGAAATCTGAAATGAGAAAAATTGACCCCCCACAATTTCTTTTTATCCCCCCCCTTTTTTCCCCAAAAAATTCTTTCCCTCAAGATATGGTCATAATCTCAATTCAAATTTCCAATGGAGTTGGCAACCATAATTACCCATTTAAATTTACCATAGTGCTAACTTAATCTATTTAATAATAGAATTAAAAATATAGTGTCAAATCTTTCATATGGATTTTTTTGTAAAAAAAAAAGATGCAACATTTGCAGATATTTTTACTGGTCTTCCTTTATAAATATGCATTTCTTTAAACATAATTTAAAAGCAGTGTAAGGGAAGTAACCAAAACGTTGTATTTGGATTACCTCCCTTACACTGTTTTAAATTATCTTTATTGTTCATTAACCATTACTTTATACATAATTTAAAAGCAGTGTAAGGGAGATAATTTCAATGATGTATTTGATTTATCTCCCTTACACTGCTTTAAATTATGTTTTGTACTAAAGTATTTGTCCATTAACCAGGACAACCTTGTTTTTCCCCCTTTTTTGCCCCTAATTCCTAAACGGTTTGAGCCATAACCCCCCAAAGCAAATCCTAACCATCCCTTTGTGGTATGGAAACTTGTAGTATAATTTCAGAGAGATCCATACACCGTTCCACAGTTATTGTCTGGAAACTAGAAAATGCTTATTTTTGGCCCCTTTTTGGCCCCTAATTCCTAAACTGTTGGTACCATAACCCCCAAAATCAATCCCAACCTTCCTTTTGTGGTATTTAACCTTATGGTCAAATTTCAAAAAGATCCATTTACTTAAACTAACGTTAGAGTGCAAAAACCAATGTGTCTTCGGACGACGACACCGGACGACGACGACGCCAACGTCATACCAATATACGACCACAAAATTTTTTTGCGGTCGTATAAAAATGACTGAAGGGCACTGATGACTGCATTCATTTTGCAGTGGGAACTTATTGTTGTTGGATGACAAATAAAGAATATAGGCATTTTTATTTTTTTTAAAACTGACTTTATCAGCAAGAATATCAAGAGACCTCGCAGTAATGTGTCGTAATAAGAAGTCAGTTTGGTTCAATTTTGTCAGATCAGTTCAAAAACATTGCTGATTTATTATTGGCATGCAAGTCAATAATTCAACCTCATTTGAATCTGTATCCATGAGACCTTTGATTTGATCCTTAGCTGGATATAAATTATGCATGTGCTAAGCATGTACAGTTAATCAAAAGAGGAGGTTGTCAACACTGAAAAGTGGATAAAGAAAGCCACCAGTAAGAACCATTTTGCTGACTGATTCTGCCATCAGAAAAATAAGTCTTCAAAAAGGTATAACTATAATTTACATATTTTATTTTATTATCTATGACATGCCATCAAACAGACCTAGAGAGATTGTTATTATATGATTGCAAGTGTATTTATATTAATATCGTTTTTTACATCAGGTCATATGAGCATCTGCATTCTTCGGAGGTCATCTCAAAGGTTAATTAGATGGCTTCTAGTCTAAAATATACACAAATGTTGAAATACTATAACGAGTCTTTGCATTGTTAATTGTTTCTTTTGGACTTTTTGTAATTTTTTGTAATTTTTTCATAAGTTTGAGTATGTTTTAAATCAAATATGAGAATTTGAGTCAAATATGTGATTCATCATTACATGAATTTGACAGCTAATGAATGCCCCTTTAGATGTTTTTGGAAATAATTGACAAACTATAGAATTTAGTAAAGAATCGTCATTTAAAGGCAAAAAATCTCATAAGGAGTCTTACAATTTGACCATGTTTACTGAAAAAGATCTTATTTTGCTGATCTTTTTTGCTGTTTTAAGTTTCTTTGTGTCCTCTTAGTTTTGAAAAAAATGCAAACAAGAGGCTCTCAATAGCCTGAATCGCTCACCTGTAATTTTTTGCTTTAATCTTTCATCAATGATTGTTTTTGCTTTTCAATATATATTAATGAGTGGCTTAAAAATGCCATTTAAATGTTCTTTGTATCTGTCATATTTTCTTCGAAAGCAAAGAAATGCATTTTACCCCTATGTTCCATTTTAGCCATAGTGGCTATGTTTCTTGACGTACAAGGAAATAAAATACAAAATTTAGTAGATAATCTGAAACTCATTCAGCCCAAGTTTAGCTGAAATTGATTCAGCAGTTTCAGAGGAGACAATTTTTTAAAGTAAGCAAACTAGACGAACAAATTGTGAAAAATTGTCTTTAAAGGGCAATAACTCCTTAAGGGGTCATTTGACAATTTTGGTCATATAAACTTATTTGTAGATCTTACTTTGCTGAACATTTTTGCTATTTACAGTTTATCTTTATTTATAATGATATTCAAGATAATATCCAAAAACTGCAAAATTTCCTTAAAATCATCAATTCAGGGGCAATAACCTAAAAATCAGATACCCAATTTAGCTGATAATTTCAGGGCAGGTAGACCTTGACCTAATGAATACTTTAACTTCCTGTCTGATTTGTTCTAAATGCTTTAGTTTTTGAGATATAAGTCAAAAACTGCATTTACCCCTATGTTCTATTTTTAGCCATGGTAGCCATGTTTTTTGATGAAACAGATAAATAAAACACAAACTTTATTCTAGATACCCTAAGGATCATTCAGCTTAAGTTTGGTTGGAATTGGTTCAGTAGTTTCAGAGGAGAAGATTTTTTAAAGTAAGAAAACATGATAAGCAAATTGTATAAAATTGTCCTTAAAGGGCAATAACTCCTAAAGGGGTCAATTGACAATTTTGGTCATATTAAACTTATTTGTAGATCTTACTCTGCTGAACATTTTTGCTGTTTACAGTTTATCTTTATCTATAATAATATTCAAGATAATAACCAAAAACTGCAAAATTTCCTTAAAATTACTAATTCAGGGGCAGCAACCCAACAATGGGTTGTTAGATTCATCTGAAAATTTTAGAGCTGATAGAACTTGACCTAATGAACACTTTGACCACATGTCGGATTTGCTCTTAATGCTTTAGTTTTTGAGATATAAGCCAAAAACTGCATTTTACCCCAATGTTCTATTTTTAGCCATGGCGGCCATGTTTTTTGACGAAACAGAAAATAAAACACAAACTATATTCTATATACCCTAAGGATCATTCAGTTTAAGTTTGGTTGGAATTGGTTCAGTAGTTTCAGAGAAGTTGTTTGAAATAGTTTACACCTGACGGACATCGACGGACGCCAAGTGAATGGTGAGCTAAAAAGTGGGTAAAATCATCATTATGGGGGAAATAACTCCTAAAATGAGTTGGTTGACAGTTTAAGCTATGATGACATTTTTGTAGAGCTTGTGCTGAACGTTTTTGCTATTTACTGTTCCTCTCTATATTATCATCTTTTCTGCAAAATATGCAAAAATGGGTAAAACCATCTTTCAAGGGCAATGACTCATAAAGTGTGAATTGATGATTTCTGACATGTTCACTTATTTGTGGATCTAATTTTCTGAACATTTTTGTTATCTTCAATTTTTCTCCATCTATTATGATTTCTGCAAAAATTGGGGAAAAAACATGTCAGAGGCAATAACTCTTTTAAGGGCTCAATTGACGATTTCGTCCTTGTTGACTTAATTGTAGATCTCAATGTTTTGGTCTGTTTAAAATTTTTCTCTATCTTTTATAGTTTCCAAAATAATGACCAAAAACTTTGAAATTTGCAAAAAAATTTGCAATTTATGGGGCGATTATTGTAAAATGGGTTGTCCAATTTTTCTGAAAATTTCCTTGAAGATAGCCCTTTGGTCATTATTACCAATGTCAGTTTTGCTCCAACTGTTTTCGTTTTGAGATATAATCATAAACTGTGAAATTTTCCCAAAAAAAAACAGTATTTGGGCAATAACTCTGAAATGGATTGTATGATTTTTCTTAAAAATATATGGGAGAAAGACCAGCTGATTATTTGTACCCAATCAGCTTTGCTCTTACTGCTTTAGTTTTAGTTATATAATCCAATAAAATGCTCCGCTGGGGCGCAGCTTGATACGACCACAGAGGTCGAACCCTGAACAGTTGGGGCAAGTATGGACACAACATTCAAGCTTGATACAGCTATTTGACACATCATAGGTTTCTGACACAGAATGAATGTGGTCTAAGAACTTAAAAATTTTTAATTTATCTATTCAAACCATATCATTATTATTTGCTTTTATATATAAATTAGAAATAACCAATTTAAAATGGAAAATTTTAAAGAAAAAAAAGGAAAAAAAAATCCCCCCCCCCCCAATTTTTTGAACCCCCTTATGATTCATCACCCCCAAACTCAATCCCAGCCTTCCCTTTGTGGTATGGTACCTTGCAGTACTGTACATGTGATGGACTGTGAAACTAAGATCAGGAGTTCGGGAAATTTTGGTCAGGAGATTAGGACTCAGATCAGGAGGTTTTTAATCGACATAAATTCTGTTGTAAATGTAACTGTGTGCTGTAGAAATTTTCTGTTAAAGTGTGTTTTCTTCAACTTTCCATCCGAATGTATTATGTTTATAGTACCCTTGTACTTATAAATTTTCTCTATCTTTTTAAACTTCCAACTTGTTCAATCTAACAATCTTCTTTTTTAGTATGTTCTTTATAAATTTTTTAGGTCATTTCTTTTTTACCATTATTCATTGCAATCAGAACATTTGCTTATCTATCAGCAAGTAGATCTTTTATTTTTATCTTTATGCAAGTAGAATTTTAATGCATGATAAGTAACACATTAAGCTGTAATGAAGGGTCATAGTTATTATATAAATTTCAATTTAAGCCTTGAAAGGAAGTATAGAACCCTCAAACAATTTTCAAATTATTATTTTTTTATTTGTCCTAAGACATTTAAAATCATTTAATTACCATCCTTTTATGATTATTTGTTCAATTTATATTTTATTTATATTCTTTTAAAAATTAACATTATTTAAAGGAAAGTAACTTAAAACAGGATAAATCAAGGGAAGTAACCCAACATTCATTTTAATTACACAAAGTTTTATTACACAACGGCAGTTAGCCTGAGGTAAAAATCATTGATTACCAGTATGTTTGACACCCAAGGTGACAAGTGAAGCCATATAATTATGCATGTTAATTGATTTACAGGGAAAATATAACTTCAGGTAATGTCAGTTACACCAGATAATCACATGTTGGGCTGAAACTTTTCATTCATGAAATATTTCATACACGGGATTTTTTTGTCTTCAACGGGAGGTCGGGAGGAGACCCCTGAAAACGGGATTATTGTACTCCCGTCAGGAGATTCACATGTACAATTTCAGAGATATCAATACACTTGAACACAAGTTATTGTCTGGAAACTAGAAAAATGCTTGTTTATTTGCCCCTTTTTGGCCCAAAATTCCTAAATATTTAGGGCAATTACCCCCAAACTCAAACCCAGCTTTCCCTTTGTAATATGGAACCTTGCAGTACAATTTCATAAAGATCCATACACTTACACACAAGTTATTGTCCTGAAACTAGAAAAATGCTTGTTTTTTTTGCCCCTTTATGGCCCCTAATTCCTCAAAATTACCCCAAAAAATCAATCCCAGCATTCCCTTAGTGGTATGGTACCTTGCAGTACAATTTCAGAGAGATCCATACACTTGAACACAAGTTATTGTCTGGAAACTAGAAAAATGCTTATTTTTGGCCCCTTTTTGACCCTTATTCCTAAATGTTGTGGGCAATTACCCCCAAAATCAATTCCAGCTTTCCCTTTGTGATATGGAACCTTGTAGTACAATTTCATAAAGATCCATACACTTACACACAAGTTATTGTCATGAAACTAGAAAAATGCTCGTTTTTTGTCCTTTTTTGGCCCCTAATTCCTAAAATTTGGAGGCAATTACCCCCAAAATCAATCCCAGCATTCCCTTTGTGATATGGAACCTTGTGGTACAATGTCAGAGAGATCCATACACTTACACACAAGTTATTGTCATGAAACTAGAAAAATGCTTGTTTTTTGCCCCTTTTTGGCCCCTAATTCCTAAAATTTGGAAGCAATTACCCCCAAAATCAATCCCAGCATTTCCTTTAAGATATGGAACCTTGTGGTACAATGTCAGAGAGATCCATACACTAACACACAAGTTATTGTCCTGAAACTAGAAAAATGCTTGTTTTTTTTGCCCCTAATTATGGCCCCTAATTCCTCAAAATTACCCATAAAATCAATCCCAGCATTCCCTTAGTGGTATGGTACCTTGCAGTACAATTTCAGAGAGATCCATACACTTGAACACAAGTTATTGTCTGGAAACTAGAAAAATGCTTATTTTTGGCCCCTTTTTGACCCTTATTCCTAAATGCTGTGGGCAATTACCCCCGAAATCAATTCCAGCTTTCCCTTTGTGATATGGAACCTTGTAGTACAATTTCATAAAGATCCATACACTTACACACAAGTTATTGTCATGAAACTAGAAAAATGCTCGTTTTTTGTCCTTTTTTGGCCCCTAATTCCTAAAATTTGGAGGCAATTACCCCCAAAATCAATCCCAGCATTCCCTTTGTGATATGGAACCTTGTGGTACAATGTCAGAGAGATCCATACACTTACACACAAGTAATTGTCATGAAACTAGAAAAATGCTTGTTTTTTGCCCCTTTTTGGCCCCTAATTCCTAAAATTTGGAGGCAATTACCCCCAAAATCAATCCCAGCATTCCCTTTATGATATGGAACCTTGTGGTACAATGTCAGAGAGATCCATACACTAACACACAAGTTATGTCTGGAAGTTACAAAAATGCTTATTTTTGGCCCCTTTTTGGCCCCTAATTCCTTAACTGTTGGTACCATAACCCCCAAAATCAATCCCCACCTTCCTTTTGTGGTATTGAACCTTATGGTAAAATTTCATAGAGATCCATTCTCTTAAACTAAAGTTAGAGTGCGAAAACCAATGTGTCTTCGGACGACGACGACGCCATACCAATATACGACCGCAAAATTTTTTGCGGCCGTATAAAAACTGCATTTTACCCCTATGTTTTATTTTTAGTTACATCACCCAAGTTTGTTGATGAATTAAATCCCCAGATACAATTAAATAACTGAATTTGGCCAAGCAATTTCAGTTGAGAAGATTTTTCAAAACGTTTAATAGGATGGAGGGATGACTGATGCCAAGTGAGCTAAAAACTTAGTCCATCTATCAGTTAAATACTAAAACATGAAAAAATATATTTTCAAAATTTTGTTTAAGACATTAGCTGACTAAGTCATAAAAAAGCATCTGTCCAAGTTTTGTAAAATTTAATGAAGGTTTGACAAAGTTATTAATGTCTGAAAACTTTAACCTTGGACTATATCTTAATGTAAAAAGCAAAAGAAAAAATCAAAGTCCTCAGTATTAAAAAGAAAGAAGATGATTTTTTTTTTAATTTTGCTCTTGATACTGCCTTTAGATCATAAAAAGCTTGATGTTTAAAAATTTCTCTATAATCCAGACTAGAAAAAAATTACCTTAAATTTAACTTTGGAACAATAAAAAAAATATTTCATAATCAAGATGACTTTCTTCTATCAATCCCAATTTTGTGTTAAAAATTTCATGAGAATTGTTTAAGCAAATTTGAGTAATCATATGACTTGTTGACATAGGGAGGTACAGAAAGGATAATTTATTATTTAATATGCTCCGTCTAAGAAGGGCGTATATAAACATTAAAGACAACTTACCCTCACATAAAACATATTTTTTTTCTAGACTTACAAAGTTATTAGTGCATTTTCAGCCGTCAGAGAATACACCCTAGTGATAAGTGGTCCGTGAAGTCTTTCAAAAAAGTCCATTTTGTTTTGATAAGTTGTCCAAGTTCACTGCGATTTGTCATGACTTTCTACTGAGTCCAGTTGTCTTTAAGACCAATCCATGCTGCCTTCATATTTGTTTTTTGGATGGTTCAGACCATAAATTTTCTCGTTTTGTTTTACATTATCTTTTCGGAGCCTTATATGGCTTGCTATGCAGTATTGGTTTTGCTCATTGTTGAAGGCCTTATTTTATGGTGACCTATAGTTGCTAACCTTCTACGCCATTTGGTCTCTGTTGGAGAGTTGTCTCATTGGCAATCATATCACATCTTCTTATCTTTATATACATAAGGTGGTCCATGTTAGCTTTATTATTAGTCTTAGTTGTCTTTGGTCAGTGTCGTCATGTCTTCCCACAATTACCATACATACAATGATCTAAATATTGGTTGTCAGTTGGACAAAAGACAACCCTTTATTCCAATGCTTATTGGTATATATCTCTTTTTAGGTACTAAATCAGTCAGCTGTTATAGCTCTTTTTAGGCACTAAATCAGTCAGCTATTCTAAGTGCTAGTCACAAATCTTGAACTCTTCATTATAGTGATAATAAACTAGAGGCTCTCAAGAGCCTGTGTCGCTCACCTGACTCTACTTTGGTTTTAGAAATCATGTAAAGATAGATAAAAATCATAACAGATACCCAAATAATGATTGAGGCCAAATTTTGATTAATATTGGTCCCGTTATTTAATAAAATATCCTGGTGGCCATCTTGAACAGTAAATCGGCAACAAAGTAGCAACACTTGGTCAGCACTTCATAAGGAACATTCATGCCCTGTTTGGTTTCATTCCATTCAGTGGTACTCTAAAAGAAGACATTTGTATGAATTTCCCATAGGGTCCTGTTAAACTAAGCCCCCCCCCCCCCCCTAGCGGCCATCTTGGATGATGGATCGACTGCAAAGTAACAACACTTGGTCAGCAACTCATAAGGAACATTCATGCCATGTTTGGTTCAATTCCATTCAGTGGTTCTCTAAAAGAAGACAATTGTATGTATTTCCCGTAGGGTCCTATGTTAAACTAAGTCCCCCGCTGTCGGCCATCTTGAATGATGGATCGGCTACAAAGTAACAACACTTGGTCAGCATCTCATAAGGAAGATTCATGCCATTTTTGGTTTCATTCCATTCAGTGGTTCTCTAAAAGATGACATTTGTATGTATTTCCCATAGGTCCTTTGTTAAACTAAGTCCCCTGCTGTCGGCCATCTTGGATGATGGACCGACTGCAAAGTAACAACACTTGGTCAGTACCTCATAAGGAACATTCATGCCATGTTTGGTTTCATTCCATTCAGTGGTTCGCTAAAAGAAGACATTTGTAAGTATTTCCCATAGGTCCTTTGTTAAACTAAGTCCCCTGCTGTCGGCCATCTTGGATGATGGACCGACTGCAAAGTAACAACACTTGGTCAGCACCTCATAAGGAACATTCATGCCATGTTTGGTTTCATTCCATTCAGTGGTTCTCTAAAAGAAGACATTTGTATGTATTTCCCATAGGGTCCTATGTTAAACTAAGTCCCCTGCTGTCGGCCATCTTGGATGATGGATCGGCTACAAAGTAACAACACTTGGTCAGAACCTCATAAGGGACATTCATGCCATGTTTGGTTTCATTCCATTCAGTGGTTCTCTAAAAGAAGACATTTGTATGTATTTCCCATAGGGTCCTATGTTAAACTAAGTCCCCTGCTGGCGGCCATTTTGGATGATGGACTGACTGCAAAGTAACAACACTTGGTCAGCATCTCATAAGGAACATTCATGCCATGTTTGGTTCCATTCCATTCAGTGGTTCTCTAAAAGAAGACATTTTTATGTATTTCCCATAGGGTCCTATGTTAAACTAAGTCCCCCGCTGGCGGCCATCTTGGATGATGGATCGGCTACAAAGTAACAACACTTGGTCAGCACCTCATAAGGAACATTCATGCCATGTTTGGTTTCATTCCATTCAGTGGTTCTCTAAAAGAAGACATTTGTATGTATTTCCCATAGGGTCCTATGTTAAACTAAGTTCCCCGATGGTGGCCATCTTGGATGATGGATCGGCTACAAAGTAACAACACATGGTCAGCACCTCATAAGGAACATTTATGCCATGTTTGGTTTTATTCCATTCAGTGGTTCTCTAAAAGAAGTTATTTGTATGTATTTCCCATAGGGTCCTATGTTAAACTAAGTCCCCCGCTGGCGGCCATCTTGGATGATGGATCGGCTACAAAGTAACAACACTTGGTCAGCACCTCATAAGGAACATTCATGCCATGTTTGGTTTCATTCCATTCAGTGGTTCTCTAAAAGAAGTCATTTGTATGCATTTCCCATAGGGTCCTATGTTAAACTAAGTCCCCCGCTGGCGGCCATCTTGGATGATGGATCGGCTACAAAGTAACAACACTTGGTCGGCACCTCATAAGGAACATTCATGCCATGTTTGGTTTCATTCCATTCAGTGGTTCTCTAAAAGAAGTCATTTGTATGCATTTCCCATAGGGTCCTATGTTAAACTAAGTCCCCCGCTGGCGGCCATCTTGGATGATGGATCGGGTACAAAGTAACAACACTTGGTCAGCACCTCATAAGGAACATTCATGCCATGTTTGGTTTCATTCCATTCAGTGGTTCTCTAAAAGAAGTCATTTGTATGCATTTCCCATAGGGTCCTATGTTAAACTAAGTCCCCCGCTGGCGGCCATCTTGGATGATGGATCGGCTACAAAGTAACAACACTTGGTCAGCACCTCATAAGGAACATTCATGCCATGTTTGGTTTCATTCCATTCAGTGGTTCTCTAAAAGAAGACATTTGTATGTATTTCCCATAGGGTCCTATGTTAAACTAAGTTCCCCGATGGTGGCCATCTTGGATGATGGATCGGCTACAAAGTAACAACACATGGTCAGCACCTCATAAGGAACATTTATGCCATGTTTGGTTTTATTCCATTCAGTGGTTCTCTAAAAGAAGTTATTTGTATGTATTTCCCATAGGGTCCTATGTTAAACTAAGTCCCCCGCTGGCGGCCATCTTGGATGATGGATCGGCTACAAAGTAACAACACTTGGTCAGCACCTCATAAGGAACATTCATGCCATGTTTGGTTTCATTCCATTCAGTGGTTCTCTAAAAGAAGTCATTTGTATGCATTTCCCATAGGGTCCTATGTTAAACTAAGTCCCCCGCTGGCGGCCATCTTGGATGATGGATCGGCTACAAAGTAACAACACTTGGTCGGCACCTCATAAGGAACATTCATGCCATGTTTGGTTTCATTCCATTCAGTGGTTCTCTAAAAGAAGTCATTTGTATGCATTTCCCATAGGGTCCTATGTTAAACTAAGTCCCCCGCTGGCGGCCATCTTGGATGATGGATCGGGTACAAAGTAACAACACTTGGTCAGCACCTCATAAGGAACATTCATGCCATGTTTGGTTTCATTCCATTCAGTGGTTCTCTAAAAGAAGTCATTTGTATGCATTTCCCATAGGGTCCTATGTTAAACTAAGTCCCCCGCTGGCGGCCATCTTGGATGATGGATCGGCTACAAAGTAGCAACACTTGGTCAGCACCTCATAAGGAACATTCATGCCATGTTTGGTTTCATTCCATTCAGTGGTTCTCTAAAAGAAGTCATTTGTATGCATTTCCCATAGGGTCCTATGTTAAACTAAGTCCCACGCTGGCGGCCATCTTGGATGATGGATCGGCTACAAAGTAACAACACTTGGTCAGCACCTCATAAGGAACATTCATGCCATGTTTGGTTTCATTCCATTCAGTGGTTCTCTAAAAGAAGTCATTTGTATGCATTTCCCTTAGGGTCCTATGTTAAACTAAGTCCCCCGCTGGCGGCCATCTTGGATGATGGATCGGCTACAAAGTAACAACACTTGGTCAGCACCTCATAAGGAACATTCATGCCATGTTTGGTTTCATTCCATTCAGTGGTTCTCTAGAAGAAGTTCAAAATGTAAAAAGTTAACGCCGACGACGGACGACGCCGGACGACGGACGCCAAGTGATGAGAAAAGCTCACTTGGCCCTTCGGGCCAGGTGAGCTAAAAATGGTAATGGTCCTACAGTCTATTTACTATCCTAAATGGTTCATCAAAATGAATGCTGGTTTTGAATATAGCAGAGCTATGAACATTTTCTGGTTTAATTTTCCAGCCATTTGACATGTGTTGCAATGTCTACAG